ACAGCTTGAATAGTTCTTATAATAGTTGTCTCAAAAAGTTTACCTAATTCTGACAATAATGTTATGGGTCTGAGTGCTTTGGGATCTGTAAGATCCTTATCTGGAGCTTTGACGATAGTCACCAATCTTCCATGCTTCCAACTATTAGGAAAGTATGCCAGATTAACGCTTGCTTCAAATAGCTTCTTAATACACTCGCCAATAATTGGGTAAGCCATTGCCAACACTTTCCCATGTACATTATCCGGCCCAGGAGCCCTGTTTCTACGTATAGCTTTGATGGCATCATCTATATGCTCTTTATTAATGTCAACTTGTTGTTGTAATCCAACATATTCATCCACCGCCTCTCTCCATTCTCGGTTATTATCTTTGTCACTATCGGGATTATCTGCTGGCATTAGTTTGTCTAAGATTGCTTGTAATGTGTCTGTGAAGTTGTTGGTCAAATTTCCTTCTGGGGTTCTAACAGTGTTCTGCATATTATTCCATCTTATCTTTTCAGAAGCTAACTTATAAGTGGTACCCCAAGGGTTTCTTCCGAGGTCATTTTCGACGAATTCAATCCATGTTTCCTGTTTAGATATTTTTATAAGTCTTTTGTATGTTCCTTGTTGAGTGTGATATAACTCTCTTAATCTGTTTATTTCTTGGTCATCGTTTTGACGTCTTCTTGCTCTTTGATAGGCTTTTCTGCATTTATGAGATTCATATTTTGCCCTTCCGATTTCATCTGTCCACCATGGGCCATATTTATTTGGTTTGTGCACTATTTTTCCTAGCCTTTCTGTGGCAGATGTAAGACCGTTAGTTAGCATTTCTATAAATTCATCTACTTCTCTCTTGTTATGTAAAGGTTTTTGATTAATCTGTTCATAAAGTGCTAATATTATGGCCTCTAATTCTTCTGAATTTTTTCTATTAACCGAGTACTTTGGTTGAGACTCAAATTGGGCTTCCTGCAATACTGAGCTGATTTGAAGTTCGATTAGTCTATGATCGCTAGTGATAGCTTCCTCTCTTATCTCCCACATTGCAATGTATGGGATAAGATTGTTTGTTATTAAGTCAAGGTCAATCCTACTTTCTCCATTGGCAGTGGAGAAGGTAGGAGGAGTGCCTGCTTCATTAACTATATTTAAGTCATTGTTATTTATAAATTCTTCTAATTTTCTGCCTCTGGCATCAATTAGATGGTCATGCCACATTTCTGATCTCGCATTGAAATCACCCCCAATTAGTATTTTATTAGGTTCATTCTCTATGAGAATGTCTTGTATTATATTCAATTCCTCTAATATCTCATGATTTGGTTGACAGTAAACGTTAACCATCACTATTTCCTGTCTAGCTGTTTTGATTCGTACTGCAACTGAATGGGGTAATTTGTACTGTTTTAGACTTATGGCATCAATTTCTTCATTAAATATAATAGTGACGGCTGTTGGCCTCTCGGTGATCCTATGTGCCAGTCGGTATTGCGACCTTTCCGGGACAAAATGGTTACCTCTATTGTTAATTCTGGTATATGGCTCCTGCGCCAGGACAATGTCAAATTTATTTTGTTCTGCGTATTGTCGTAGCTCCGATGTGGCAGTTAATGACCTCTGTAAGTAAATATGGCCTATCCTAATATTACCATTGTTATTATTGGCTATGATCTGTATTGTTGATATGAGCCTGAAGTCTTCGATTATAGGTGGCACATTTGTTGTCACTAGCTTCATGGAAGCATTCTTCTTTATTAACTTTACCTCTTATGCAATTAGTACAACTAGGCCTGCCATTATTTGGACAGTCTTTAGTGTCATGTTCACCTGTGCATCTTGAACATGCAGCCTTGTTCTTGCAAACGGATGCCATGTGACCAAATCCCTGGCACTTAAAGCATCTAAGAATCCTAACGTGGTCTCTAACAGGGCAAGCACTCCAGTCTAAGTACAACTTTTTCCTGTTTAAAATTATATTTCTAATGTTTGGTTTGCATTCAATTACCCAAGTACACGTGGTACTATTTCTATCCCCAAATTTGTATTTGGAGACCAACTCATCGGGATCGTTTTCTGGTAAATCTAGGTCGTCGTTAATTCTGGCAGCAACTCTATTGGGTCTCCAATCACTAGGGACGCCAATTACGGCTATTCATGGTAACATTTTTTGTTGGACAGATGCCTTCAAGCCTACTTTTTCAAGTTCTTCCAAATTGTAATTTGTGTTTGCTGCCAGTACTCAAATTGCTCTCCCGTTAGTGGGAAAGCATTTCTCGACTTTGAGTCCAAGCTCGTAAGGATTTAGCTTATTAAGAGCTCCCATAGTATCTTCACTTGTTTTGAGTACCATATTATTTTCGAGTGGCTCTATTAATATGACATCATTTCTTGACGGTTCTACTGTCTTTCCTCTTGTTATTGAGACCTGAATAGTAGGAGGAGCTTTTTTAGTTATGGAGGCGTAACTCTGCATAGGGGGAACTTCTCTATCTAGGTTATTGTTAATTTTTTGTTCAATAATGTCGAGTTTTTCTGCAACACTATTCGAAGTCTCAATTTGTCCCAGGTGGAGTATTAACTTAGTAAAAGCTTCTGTCATTTTTTCTAGGTTGCTAGTAGTTATACATTTTTTGCTGATTCTTTAGATGTGAGTAAGTTGTTTATGATAGCTTCTTTGGCTTCAGAAAATTGTTGGATGGCACTGTACGCCAGGGTGGTGGCTGTGCCTCCCATGAAATCGGCACTTCTTTCTAAGAAATGTTCATTTTGTTACGAGCGTGGCCTGCTCACTGGCTCTTCCCTGGTGTTAGATTGGACACCTTCATTATAGTCACTAAGGCTTTCGACTTCCTTGTCAACAGCTGTAGTTGTGCTACCTCGTTCATCAGTTGGCTCTTCCTGATCGAAGCTATTGGATTCTACATTTACGATTAATTCTTGAGAATTTTTGATTTGGTTTGAGTTAGTTGGTTTCATATTTTTCATATTTCGTCCCACGAGAAGCTAGGGATATTTGGTCAGTCTCCACAGAGCCCCGCATGTGGAGATAAGGCTATTAATTCGAACTTGCGCCACTGGTCTGAATTACACGTTCGAAACGCCATCACCCTGGCGCCATTCGCACCCTCAGCACGCATTACACCTTGGCGTTGGGGATTTTTTAACGAGGTTTACTCCTCTTTATGTTGTTGAGCCGTCCTTAGCTTCACCATTCATCCTCGACCTTACCGGCATGGGTGACCCTGCCAGTAGCTTAAGCTCCCGCCGGCATCTCTCTCGGAATCACTGCGGCTACTGGTTCCCCCCAACAACGAAAAGGTCTCACGGCTCCTTGGGGGGAGTGGGTAGGGACAGTTCAGTTCAGTCCAGTTCAGTTGTAATGTTGCCGGGGTAGCAACGGGTGAGACCAAGAACTGGTCTTACCCCCCCTTCCCAAGACCCCTAGGGGATGACTGCCGGCTACCTGTCTCTCGACCTAAACCGACAGCACACCCAAGAGAAATGAAAGATTTGGATACGCCAGATCAGCGCGCTAGAGCCATCTCCGTTATGTAACGGTATGTTCTCCTGCTACCATTTCATTATACCCATGGTGAGGCCGTCTGATAAAACAGACTACTGGCTCTGCAGTGTCAGTGCCCGAGCAGAAACGCTGCTCACTTGCCGAGGCAGGCAAGATATCCTCCCACTTGACCCATAGTGGGATTCTTCTTCACCTCCTCTACAGTAGTCCGGTGGTGTTTTTTGGAAACCGCTGCCCCCTGGAGTCCAACCCAATTGGTGAGGCACCAGGCCGTATGTACGGCCTGATGGGGCTATCCTCATCACCCCTGGTACCCATGTCAACAAGATTCCTCATGTTACGTTTGATGGGTCGCCGTCGCAAGAGACTTTCGCCTGATTGCTACTCATGTTGACAAGAATTCTCTCGTCCCTTTGAATGAGTGATCGTTCGAAGACTTCTACACGTTCCTCTACCTCGTTTACAGGAGAGGACCCGGCTTTCCCTATGATGACTGGCGATAGGATCGCTTGGGGCTAACCCCTCCCTGACGAACTAAGGCACAAGGTACACCAAAGTTCCAGTTTTCGCTGAGCACGACCAGGTACCCATGTCGACCAGAATCCTCCAGTCCCGTTTGATGGGTATCCGTTCGCTGCCTTTTACACGTTCCGCTACCATGACAAGAGTGGGGACCTCAAGCTTTTAACCAGCGGTGTCTGGAATCACCTGAGGCTACCCCCACCCCGACGCCGTGAGTACATGGTGGGCCCACGGCCGAGTGGGTAGGGACAGTGGGAATCTCGTTAATCCATTCATGCGCGTCACTAATTAGATGAGGAGGCGTTTGGCTATATCCTGCTCGAATCTTACATTCATTCGAGGACTTTCCTATGTGTGCCTGCCGCGGTCGGCGTTGTACATGAACGTTATTTGGAAATGTAGGCTGTCGTAACCATACTGGGAAACTCCCAGGTAACTTTTCGCCATACACAACTCGCGCCCCACTATCTTACACTCTTGGTCAAAGAGAAACCATTCTCTGCCAAGACCCAGTTTACGGTCGGAATAAATTAGTCCGAACGAGTCCCATTGCTGGGAAACAGCTGTTAGCCCGTCACCTCCGAAGAGGTTCTGGTTTCCAGGGAAGCTCCGTGGAAGCCGCTGCCAAGGTTTGACCGAAAATCATGGCTAGGAACCCTGCTCGCCGCCGTAGCACCGATACATGTAAAGGGCCGAACGACTCGCATGCTTATCACTGAAGTTACACTCCACTTAAACAACACCTTGTATAAACAATACAAACAGTAATTGAATAAATAAAATGTATGTATAAAATGAATAAATAAGTGTAAAAAGGATAAAAACGACATGAATGACTAGTATATTGACTAGAAGTTAGGTATGACTACCTATGGACAACACAATCAATAACATGAAACACAAATATCAGTGATAAGCAGCTGTGAGACCAAGAGTTTTCATGTCCCCGTGAGTGGCGTCAATCATCACGGGGGCTGCCGAGCGTCCCGGCGGAGAGGCGCATTGTACTCCATAAAATCATGATAGATTTCGATGGAACTACGTAGGACAATAAGACTGATGGTCTTATATACCCCTTTGGTTGTGATGCCCAGCTTTTGCAACCCTTGGATTGTCTTTCTGGGCATCGCGCCTCTCGTTCCTACCACAATCGGTAGGACTTTGGCATCGGTCGACCCAAACCTTTGCCGGAATTGAGGTAGCAGTTTGCCATATTTTCGCATTTTATCGTTGTGTCCCATTGCGAGATTATTCCCATCCTCGTGGCGGACTGTGACGTCGACCACGAGGACCCTTCCCTGGCGTTGAATTACCAGGTCCGGTTTGAGATTCCCGCCACGGGGGGCCACCATTGTCGGTGGTTCCACCGTTACCGCTTCCTCTCGACCTTGCTTCTGCACTTCTTGCACGATGAGGTCGCAAATCTCATCATGCCTTCGGATTCTAGACGGCTTCGTGTATCTACACATGCCGAGGATGTGGCCCAAAGTCTCCAGCTGAGTGCCACATTGCCTACAATCTATATCCGGTACTGGTCCGATCCTATTCATCGCCACCCTGTTAGAGCATGAATTAGTCCTCATTCTCAGGGCGGTGATCATTCTGCCTGGCTTCAAGATCGTAGGATTTGAGAGCCAGGCATTGGCAGTAGTGTTGTCGGTGAATGCTGTGACCGACTTGCCTTGAGAACTCTGGCTGGACCATCTTGCAAGCTCGGCTCGTCTTTTTTGTTTGACGTAGCTCTCCAGGTCCTGGTCCGTGACAGGCCAGTTAATACGTGTAGCTCGGGCAAGGCGCTTGAGACGACCTTCCAACCTAGTGCCCAGAGCTGGAGCTTGCATTGCCGGGTCGGGGTTTTGCATAAATTTTCACCTGGCTTTCAGGGCTGCTGAGGTTAGTAGCCACTCTAACCTCGGTATACCTGGTCCCCCGTCTCTCTTAGCTGCATACAACAACCCGTTTGTTGTTAAATGAGGCAAATGGAAGATATCCTTAATCACTACACGCAGCTCCTGGTCTAGTTCTCTCGTAACGTTAAGCGATGGCAAATCCATCGCTATTCTGTACATGTAGTGTGGGACTAGGTAAGTGGTGATTAAGTCTACCTTCTGGTGTGGTTTCAACTTCAGTTGTCTGACTCGGCTGAGTGTTAAAGCAAGGTCGGCTTTTATGCCCTCGACAGATATCCCAAACCATGGCGATATCTTCACACCGAGGTAGACAAGGTGGTCACCAGCCCCCATTACTGGAACCCCTTCACCACTGTCGAATGCGAGTCCTGGGTCAGCTAAGAACCAGGAGTCTCTTGTTCTGCTTATTTGGAACGTAGCGCACTTGCTGGGCGATAGGCTCATCTCCAGGGCCCCCAAGTACGCTTCCGTCCTTCTTAGCTGTTCCCTGGCCTGTGGTACGTTCTGCGCAAGATATACTCGTATTGTCATCGATGTTGTACCCAGGACCGCTTTCCAGCGCTTCTATCAATGGCTCCAGCGCAGCATTGAATAGAAATGGACTTAGGGAGTCACCTTGCTTGACCCCGCGCTGGAGGCGTATGTCGACTGACGCCTCATTTCCACGTATCGTGGTATCCACATCCTGGTATGCGTCTTACACTATCCGCACCAATGGACGTGGAAGACCTTTCTTCAGAAACGATTGCTTGAGCAGCTGATGTGGGACAGTGTCAAAAGCTTTGGCAAAGTCAAGCATCGTTACTACCATGCCCTGGTTGTCCTTGGCATGCCGCAGCACCTCTTCCAGGATGTGGATGTTATTAAAGCAGCCGGCTTCGCTAACGAAGCCTTTCTGCCGAGGTGAGAACTTTACCCAAGCCCGAATCTTCTGGTCGAGTAAGTCGAAGTATACTCGACTCAGAAGCGAGGAGATGGTCAGCGGACGGTAATTCTCCGCCCGTCTGCCATCCTTTCCCTCCTTCGGGATTAGGGTCGTTCGATTCTTCCTTCACTCCATGGGTTGCCTGTTGCAAACCATGATCAGATTTCAAAATGAGTGGAGCACCTCGTAAACTGCTGGTCTTTTCAAGTCGCTGAGCTTGATATTGTCGGGACCAGCAGCCGTGGACCGGTTAATTCGCTCAATGCGTGCGACTATTTCTTCTTTTGTTATTTCAGAGAGGACCGCTCCCAAGTCCTTCTCTGGCTCATTCTGACCTAAGTCAGGGAGTTGTACGTCAGGTCTGTGTACAGCTTCCGCACGTCCGCATCTGGGCAAGTGACGCCACCTTGCTCCAGCCAGTCCACGTTTGTGCGGACGTGCTTTGCAACCAGGGCAGGGTTTTTATGATATAAATCTTGGGCCGGAGCATAGAGGTAACGGCGTCGCTGACCCCTACCTCTACCTCCTTCCTGGTTCCTGCGTTGTCCCGGCACTTCTGCATTTTCGGTTTGGAAAGAAAAAGAAAATAAAAAAAAAAGGAGCGAGAAGCTCCCACCACCACCCCTGCTCAATTACGCAGGCTACTGATTTAATGGATCAATTCTAAAATGAATGATCAAAGAATACTTATTGATGACTGGATTAGATTATGACTTACTGACTAGTTAGGGTACCTGCCTTTCGGCTTACCTCCTCACTTCTGTTTCAACAATATTTCTCGCTTCTTCCTTTTTCTACGTTAATCTTTATTAATAATACGCTTCGTAATACAAGTAATACAAAATACGAAAATACAAAATACAAGTACAAAATATTTGCATTAAACTTCATTACAATTTAGCCCTTGCTTCCTATGTCTGTTTATAATCAATTTCTCTAGAATATCAAGATTTGGTCCTATATTTATAATGATTTCGGCCGGGTCTTCTTCCAGGATTATTTTTTGAATTTCATTGCTAATTTCGTTCCTGGCGTTTTCGAAATTAATACAGCTGGTTAAACGATGACTTGGAGTATCTGGAACATCACAACTAAGACAATTAGGACTTGCTGCTTTCCCTATACGATGTAAATGGAGTCTAAATTCCCCATGACTTGTTAAGAAGGACACAGCTATCCTCCCTGGCCTATAATGTGGGGTGCTCAACCAAAGGTTTATGTTATTTATTAGGGCATAAGTTGCTCTGCCTTTCTGAGAATTATCCCACTCTAATTGCCATTGCTGGGTAGTACTATGGTTTAAATAATCGATGACATTCTTCCAGTATCTGTAATTTTGTACTAAAGTTTCTTGTCCCAAGAAGGTAGTTGTACCTCTGTTCTTCAATTCTGTATATGCACAAAGTTTTTGTATCTCTAAATGAATCGGTTTGATTTTTGTAATTACACATAAAGTCTCATTAGGTGTAGTTATACAGGGTGTCCGGAGATAAAACCGACAAAACTCATGGGGTTATAGGGACTGTCAATATGATTGCAAAATGCCATAAACGAATGTCCAAAACGGCTTCGTTACTGAGATACAGAGTGATTTGTGGATTTTGACAAAAAATTCAATCCGCCATATAAAATACAGGGATTAGCCGATTAGATTAAAATTTGGAACACGAATTACACTGAAAAGCATCAACAAGTAGCCCTTTGATCGAAACCAATATCAGGACCGGAATATTTTCCCCCTATGTTGAGTTATTGTTAGGATAACTCACCCTGTATCATAATAACCAAAAATTTCAACTCAGATTCGCAATCTACGGTGAAAATTGTATAGGAATTTGTTGAAAAATCTCCTGGCACTATCTTAGTTATTCCATAATTAATTATTATTTCAATTTTTTTCATCAAAAAATCAATCATTGTCGGATAAAGTACGTATATCTACGAAACTATGACATGAATGTCGTTATTTTCTTCGATCAGTTCATGAATCGGAGTAAGATGAAATATTCTTATAACCCGAAAAAACTGAAGAATAAATTCGTATCAGGGCTGGAATGAGTGTTTTGTTTGTTCATGTTAGCTGACCTAGTACATCAATAGTTATCAATAATCTGATCGTAGATTCGGAATCTGAAAAAATCGTATAAGAACCTGTTAAAGAAGGATAACAGTGAAGTTTTTGTAAATTATATTCGCTCACTAATGAATTTGAATTTATGAGAATACTACACAACGAACAATAACTGTTTGCAATGAACATAACGAAAGCAACGAATTCGTGAATAACTTTCACTACCCAGTATTACAAAACATTTTCGTAGTGGAGCCCTCCAACATCAATACATTTTTGAGAGCGTACTATTAGATGATTCACAGAATTATTTGAGGGTTATTTCTAACACTAACACATGCAGCAGTAATTTTCCATAAAAAATTGCTTCATTATGAACTTCCTACTTTGAATGACCTCATAAAAAATAATCTAGCTGAGTTAGATCAGGGGATAGCGGTGGCCAATTTACTGAACCTCCACGGCCAATCCATCTATTGGGGTAATTGGCATCAAGATGGTTTCTAACTGGAACTGAAAAGTGAAGTCTAGCACCATCATGCTGAAACCACATACCTCAGGTATTTACACCTTGCAATAGATCCGGTCAAGTATTGACCAGGAAATTTAGGTAAACATCACCAGTTAAAGCCCAAACACAAAAAGAATATCTGCGTATTCCTCATAAGTGAAATGAAACGGCATCATAAGCACACTCTCAGAACTATTGTTTGATCCTAAAAACACTGGAATAATGAATGAACACCAATAAAACAAACGCTGATGACAGCTGAACAATGGTTTTCCATAATGAAATTCTGAATTTGACACAAGCCTAGTATTCTTTATAAACAAACATTATAAGGTACTGATACGGATTTATTATTTGAAAGTTCAATCCGAACATTTTTCAACACGTTTTTAACTTTTCTCAGTGAATTTCGAATCTGCGATCAGATCATTGTTATACTAGATCATCTATTCTTACAGAAATATAATCATAGAAAACCGCATTCCAGTTCTGATACGAATTTATTTTTCAGTTCTTTCGGGTTATGAGAGTATTTTATTTAACAACGATTTTCGGACTGATTGAATAAAATAATGATATTCATGTCATGGTTTCGTTAATATTCATTATTTTACCAATTTTGATAGTAATTTATCCGACAATAATTGAGTTTTGAAAGAAAAAAATTAAAATAATAATTAATTACGAAATAACTAAGATAGTGCCAGGAGATTTTTCAACAAATTCCTATACAATTTTTACCGTAGATGTCGAATGTGAGTTGAAATTTTTTGTTATTATTATACAGGGTGAGTTATTCTCACAATAACTCAACATAAGGAAAAAATATCATTCCGGTCCTGATATTGGTTTCGATCAAAGGGCTACTTGTTGATGCTTCTCAGTGTAATTCGTGTACCAAATTTAAATCTAATCGGTTAATCCCTGTATTTGATATGACGGATTGAATTTTTTGTCAAAATCCACAAATCACTCTGTATGTCAATAACGAAGCGGTTTTGGACATTTGTTTATGGCATTTTGCAATCATATTGACAGTCCCTATAACACCACAAGTCTTGTCGGTTTAATCTCCGGACACCCTGTATATGCACCAGATATACTTTTCAGGCATAATGCTTGAAGACTTCTGAGTTTCCTAAGTACTGCTTTCTGATTAATTTCATCTATCCAATATTTAACCGCATAAGTTAAAATTGGTGAAATTGCCCTGTGATAAATCTCGCTGGTGGAACCGGCTAGCCTTCCCCAATTGATGAATATGTATTTTCTAAGTGTTTGAAAGATGTTTCTGCACTTGTTTACTATGTAGTCTATGTGGTCTCGATAATTCAGTTTTTCATCCAGTATAACACCTAGATACTTCAATTTTCTGACTCTGCCAACCGGCCTCCCGTCTAATCTGAGTGAGGGGTTTCTCGCTTAGCTATTTTAATGTTTTCTTT